GCCACACTTTAAGAACAACTTAATGTTGTTCATTTCTCACATTCTGTTATTGTATCTTGTGGCATTGCATTATGCAGGTGGGTTGTAAAGCTTTTAATTGTATTTTAGTTTAGTTTCAGTTGTCCTAGTTTTTATTTTTATTTCAGTTAAGGTTTGGTTAGGGTTAGTGATGAACATGTTTTTATTTAGTTTTCGCTTTATAGTTTTCTTAAACTGCATTATAGAAGCACAAGGGATGTGAAAAATGTCTCATGCTAACTATTTTATTCTTCTATTTATTACACTCCTTAAACGCTGATTGCCCATCTTATTGTGTGTGTGTGTGTGTGTGTGTGTGTTTGTGTGTGTGTCCTGGTAAACCCTACGTTAAGGGAACAAAATGTCCCCACAAAGAGGGAAATATCCTACATCCTTGTCCTTGTGGGGACATTTTTGGTCCCCATGAGGAAAACAGCTTGTAAATCTTAAAAAAAAAGAAAAAGTTTTTTATGAGGGTCGTGTTAGGGTTAGGGGATAGAATATACAGCTTGTACAGTATAAAAATCCCTATGTCTATAGAAAGCCTACCATAAAACATGGAAACCCAATGTGTGTGTGTGTGTTCGATATCTTCTGGATGTCCTAGGATAATCTATAGCCTTGGCTTCGGAGCAGCTGTGGTTTTGAGGAGACAGAGGAGAGAGTGAGGATACACACACAGTTTGACCTGTGTTTGAGTTTGACAGAAGAGATGAATGTCCCTTCATTATGTGTGTGTATCTGTGTGTTAATTTCCCATCAGCGTGCATTAGAGCTGGCCACTAAGGTGTTGTCCCCAGTAGGTAGAAGGTGGACAGACGTGCTGATTCAGCTGATGGACTTTTTGCCTGCCACGTGCCTGTCTCACTGCAAGAGGACACAGACAGCTGAGGTGTATATCTGCTGTTCTCTGGCTCTCGCTGCATCAGCCTCTCAGTGTCCATCAGAGTCTGCTGCTGAAGAAAACATGAGTGCTAAACTCGACACCACAATGCTTTGTTGTGAGGAGTCAGAGGAGAGGGTGAGGAGACACACACAGTTTGAGCTCTCTAAAGTTGACAGAAGGGAAAACTGTCATTTTTAACTAATTAAAAGGACTTTGAATTCAAACTTTGAAAGTTGGCTTGGAAAAGATTTGTTTGAACATTTTGAAAATACTTTAATAAAGCCTGATGATTGATAGATATATAGATGGATGGATGGATGGATGAGATAGATAGATAGATTTTTTTTTTTTAGATCTTTCATATTTAATAAATTAACTTTTGTGGTCCAGGGTAGAAGGGTGGTCCACTTAATTTTCCAGAATGCATAACTGGTGTTGAATTTCTTTGAGTTGTAATTCAGTAAATTGCTAATTTTCCATTCCAATTCAAATCCCAGTTTAACTTCCAGTAGGTGTGGCCAAATTCACACTCATGAATTGAAAGGAAATTTTGCGCAACCCTGCCAGACAGTGCTCTGAAACAGTTGAATGCAGAGTAAGAAGTGTTTAATTAGGGTTAGTAGTTTTTTCAAATCCCTGGTTTGTTAGTTGGTTTATGTGTGAATAGTGTGTGTTGTTCATTTAAATTATTATAAGACTCACATTAGGCAGCTAATTGAGCATCAAAGATCCAGAGATTTGCAAGCAACTGGGAACGCATGGCAAAAAAAAAAAAAAAAGAAGAAAAAACAGTTGAGGTTGTATTCACAAACACCAGAGAGATGGCTGGCTATCGGCTCGGGAACCATTCATTCATTGATTCGCTCCTCAGCTGATTCGTCCTTCACTCTAAATACCCACAGTCCTCCCCAACAGAACAGCTGGTGTGTGTGTTAACAGGTCATTACTTGTGTATGTCTTTGCTGGTTTGTTTTAGCTTTTGTTATACGTGTGATAAATGATTTGGTCATGTGAAGGGCAGCCATAATTAGAAGAGGCTGCTACAGTGGGCTGATTACCCTGGGCACAGTCTCTCTCTCTCTCTCTCTCTCTCTCTCTCTCTCTCTCTCTCTCTCTCTCTCTCTCTCTCTCTCTCTCTCTCTCTCTCTCTCTCTCTCTCTCTCTCTCTCTCTCTCTCTCTCTCTCTCTCTCTCTCTCTCTCTCTCTCTCACACACACACACTTTCCTTGGCTGGAAGTAAGACTGATAATATCAGCATTAATGATATCTGCAGGAACACAGATTAAGTGACTGATATGTTTTGGATCTGATTGTCAGTAAAAGGCCTAATAGATTTTCACTTGTAAACAGCTGATCGGAGATCATTTGTTATGCACTATGTCAACAAAATTGAGCTTAAATTCAAAACCGCCTATAAATCCCATAAATATATGCCCTCAGAATATGTTGTAGAGTCTCTGAGTTTTATAGTTAACATAAAAAAGTGTTAGCGAGCCATTTTGTTACATTTATGCTGATGTTTTGAATAAAAGTATGCATCTTTCAGTGTACTTTTTATTATTTGATGTATTTCAGTTAACCTTGGCATTGCACCAGTCACAGAAACAAATAGTTACATAATGTGAGGCATTTCAAAGTGAAACATAGTCAATGAGAACAAAGGGTCGGACAGGACTGTTCTCTCTATGACAGGTGTTTGGAAAGAGAGGGTTTGGTTGGTGAAGTTGACTGAAAAGGAATGTTGTTTCAGTGGAGCACATTTTTATATTTTTGATTAATAGTTTAAATTAATCAAAAATGTTTTACAACTATTTAATTAATGTAAAATTAAATAGTTGATTAAAAGACAATGGTTATTTAGCCTGATGGTCAACACTGAAATCTCTAGAGCAGGGTCCAATAATAATATTAATAATAAAAAAACAATTTATTTCATTTATGGGTGAACTATGCCTTTGATGATAGCAAATGAGATGGCATTTACATAATTTGTGTATACTTTTTTATTTTTTTACTTTCTTTTCCTTTTCCTTTTCCTCTTTCTATTCTTTGAGATGGCTACCAGTAGATTTTGTAACAAATTCTATTCAGGATGGCCATTTCTGTTATTCGCTACAGTTTCAAAATGGCAATATTATTTGATTATTCGGCCTGGCTGATGTATCAGTCTATAGTGCAGAATGTGATAGTGTAATCTAATTTAATATCTAAAATAATTTTTTTAAAAAGCACATTTTGTGGAGTATAATTTTAGGTGCACATATGAAAGCTGAAGGACAACATGGACAACATGCTAAATAAAGGCTCTCTAGACCTCCTGCTCCATGCAATTATTCCACATATACACTCACCGGCCACTTTATTAGGTACACCTGTCCAACTGCTCGTTAACACTTAATTTCTAAGCAGCCAATCACATGGCGGCAACTCAGTGCATTTAGGCATGTAGACATGGTCAAGACAATCTCCTGCAGTTCAAACCGAGCATCAGTATGGGGAAGAAAGGTGATTTGAGTGACTTTGAACGTGGCATGATTGTTGGTGCCAGAAGGGCTGGTCTGAGTATTTCAGAAACTGCTAATCTACTGGGATTTTCACGCACAACCATCTCTAGGGTTTACAGAGAATGGTCCGAAAAAGAAAAAACATCCAGTGAGCGGCAGTTCTGTGGGCGGAAATGCCTTGTTGATGCCAGAGGTCAGAGGAGAATGGCCAGACTGGTTCGAGCTGATAGAAGGGCAACAGTGACTGAAATAACCACTCGTTACAACCGAGGTATGCAGCAAAGCATTTGTGAAGCCACAACACGCACAACCTTGAGGCGGATGGGCTACAACAGCAGAAGACTCCACCGGGTACCACTCATCTCCACTACAAATAGGAAAAAGAGGCTACAATTTGCAAGAGCTCACCAAAATTGAACAGTTGAAGACTGGAAAAATGTTGCCTGGTCTGATGAGTCTCGATTTCTGTTGAGACATTCAGATGTTAGAGTCAGAATTTGGCGTAAACAGAATGAGAACATGGAACCATCATGCCTTGTTACCACTGTGCAGGCTGGTGGTGGTGGTGTAATGGTGTGGGGGATGTTTTCCTGGCACACTTTAGGCCCCTTAGTGCCAATTGGGCATCGTTTAAATGCCACGGCCTACCTGAGCATTGTTTCTGACCATGTCCATCCCTTTATGGCCACCATGTACCCATCCTCTGATGGCTACTTCCACCATGTCACAAAGCTCTAATCATTTCAAATTGGTTTCTTGAACATGACAATGAGTTCACTGTACTAAAATGGCCTCCACAGTCACCAGATCTCAACCCATAGAGCATCTTTGGGATGTGGTGGAACGGGAGATTCGCATCATGGATGTGCAGCCGACAAATCTGCGGCAACTGTGTGATGCCATCATGTCAATATGGACCAAACTCCCTGAGGAATGCTTCCAGCCCCTTGTTGAATCTATGCCACGAAGAATTGAGGCAGTTCTGAAGGCAAAAGGGGGTCCAACCCGTTACTAGCATGGGGTACCTAATAAAGTGGCCGGTGAGTGTATGTGGCAGTTTAACAATGATTCAAGGCACGCGCGCAGATGTGATATTACATGCACATGAATTATGGTGCATCTTCACAGTCCCAGCTGATGCGATGACGTAGACGCGTGTGTCCGCGTGCGTTCGGCGGAGGGTGTGTTTCCAAGGCGAAATCTGGAGAAGGGAGGCGGAGATTGAGGGGGGAGAGGTGACTTTAATTCTCAATATTTGCCATCTTAAAATTGTCCCTCTCGTGATCCAGGGAAAAACGAGCAGTCTCTCATCTGAGTTATCAAATGAAGCGGTAACTAAGCAAGAGGTTTGTGATGCCTGCAGATGAAACCCACAGATGCTGATAGAGGGAAGGTTTCACATGTGCAGCGGTTGCACTGGTGCTGAATCGAGATGCTTGGTCATGAAATGAAACGAGGCCCGCTCGGTTGTGAGAACACCAACTTGTTTCCTGCGCTATAACGTGAGACGGGGAGAGAGAGAGAGAGAGAGAGAGAGAGAGAGAGAGAGAGAGAGAGAGAGAGAGAGAGAGAGAGAGAGAGAGAGAGAGAGAGAGAGAGAGAGAGAGAGAGAGAGAAGGAGGAGGGGGCGCGAGCGAGCGTTCGTTCGCCGCTGTTGCTCGGGGCTCGCGGAAAAACCGATCACATGGATTCCAAGGTTCCATTTTTCAACGGCGCTTCGATCTGAGCGCGCGCTGACAGCCCCGGTGACCGGCGCATCCATCAGAGACGCGCGAGGGAAAGAGGCATCACTTCGCCGGTTCCATCGATCTGCCGGAACTGGGCAGAGGCACCGGCAGTCGGTCCGTGTGTGTGTGCGTGTGCGCAGGAGTGAGGAGGGCGAAAGCGGCCCTGGGGTATTTCTGACACCGAGGAGCAGCCAGCTGCACACTTAACGGAGAGGAAACTGATCTGGCTGAAATATTTGGCGTTACCGAAAATCATTTAGGAGGAAAGCATTCCTCATTTGCTCAAATCACAGGTACGTACCTTCCATTCAATGCGTTTGTGCGTCGCTATTGGTTAGTCAGCGATAATTAGTGCAGTTCGAGGCGCCGCCGGCTTTATTTAAGAGTTGGAATGTTGCGAATTTGACTCGGTAAACGGCAGGAGCTGTTCGGAGTGGATGTGATCAGCGCGACGTGCAACTGTGGTGGAGAGAGAATGTCTCCAAATTTGCGTCACAGCATCATTTCCATCATGTTGCCACCGTAAAATAATCACTGTCAGTGCTGAATTCGTCTTTGAAATGATTACAGAAAGGACCATAATGATCGGGATGCCAATTTATTTTAACGATAAAATATGTGGATTTAGTTTACGGTGAAGTATGAGACTCAAATATGGATCGTTTGGGCTGAGAACCTGTTCCAATAAAAAAAATTAAGGATTTTTCTGACATTCGTTTTTTTGACATGAATTCTTCCGCTGATGCGGACAGATCACCGTACTAAAATACACTTGACAGTGTTTCTTCACCATTATTCAGTGACCAATGTAGTCCGATTCTCAAACAAATGACTCTTGTGAGCCGGTGGTTCTTGGTGAATCCAAAACATACAGCACGGCCAATGTAGTTCGATGCCCGAACGAATGACTCTTATGAGCCGGTTCTTTTTAGTGAATCAAAAACACATGAATCACTCGAAGCCATTAGTGAATTAATTCACTCGCTTACTGAGCCCCAAGTTATTAATTTCATAATGTAGTCTACTGCTTTATGCATTAGACGGCTGAGGGTAGTAAATGTAATTATTTCTTATATTTTTCCTTAAAAGCACTAAAAATGCTTTAAACGTTAGATGAATCGGAACTACTTCCAGCATCATTAAATTCTTTACAATTCCCATCCCTACTTACGACTTACGAGGATAAGTGTCGTTCGTGGCGGGTGAAACCATGAACTGTTTGTTGTCTGTTCCTCCTCCATTTGCCGTTTAACGGAGGATATGTGCGTTTCTAATGCGTTTCTTGTGTTTCAACGTATGTATCTGCACGTCCCTCTGGATCCGAGCTCAAGCACGTGATGCTTTCACAGAATCCCAGCATCCTGCACATCAGATTTGGTCCCTCGAGGTGTATTTATGTGACTAACAATGACTGTAAAACTCATACATACAGAGGGGTTTTGTAAGATACATATGGGATTGTAGAGTTAGTCATCTGAGTTCCTCGTGTTCTTTTTGGGAGTCCGAACAGGTAAAGAGAATTTGCTGAGATATGTGATTAATTCAGGACAGCTGCCACCTGCCACACTGTCCTACACTCTGTTTATATCCCTATCAGGTGTCAGCCCAACTGGGCATTTCTTAAAATAGGGTGGGGGGAGGCTGGTGTAAGTGGGTGTCTTTAGTTCGCCCTGTCTCCTGTTACCCTGAGAGACATGTACTTCTTCTCCAGATCGGTGAAAGTCAGAACTCTGGGAAACAGAAATGCTGCCAGTGGCAAACTTGCTGTTGTGCATTTGTTTTGTATTTAGATTTTACAGTGTTGTTTGTGCATGTGAGTGTGTATGATGATGAAAATACACACATTTGTATACACACTCAGAGACATGGCTGACTACCTCCAATTTTTTCTCTAATGAGCACACAAAATTCGTTAGCTTAAAGGCCTCATTAGTATGTTAATTAGCCTGAGTTGTTCATAGGCCTTTTGTGTGAATATTTGTAGTCTATTTATTGTCTGAAGTGAGAACACTAAGATGCCTCTCAGCGGCAGTTGTCAACAGTTGCGTATCAACGGATTTGCTGAGGGTTCTGAGGTGTGATATACGAGAGGGAGAGAGCGGAGGAGTGAGGACAGAAGTTTACAAACATGCTTTTTTCCCACGATTTACACCTAGCGTGTGGCCCGTTTACTAGTAGGTCCTTGTCGTGGAGAATTTGTGTGCTCCGAAACACATCAAGGGATCTATTTGCTGTTTGCCCATTGCTTAAGTTACAGGTGCCAACGAGGTACTTTAACGCATGCTGAGATCTACATGATCGTATTAGCCTGTAACCCACAGGCATCTCATTGCCATGGGAACAGCTGAGGTGGTGGAAAGGAGGTTACCCACGATTGGCTCACCACCCTGAAATGCTGCCAGTCATGTTTCTTCAGAGATCTGACCTGATCATGGTATGAATGAGATTCAAACCCACCATCTGTGTGTTCGGATCCAGATATTGCCAACGGATAGTTTAACCTGTTGAGTTTCATTGTAGGACTCTCGTAACTGGTATTGGCTGGCTTTCCAAGCGGTAAGCTGTTCATAATTAAAAGTTGTTAAAGGGATCGTTTACAATTTTTTTAAATTCTGGCTTCATTAGCCATCCTCATGTCATTTCAAACCTGCATATCTGTGGAACTCAACAGAAGATATTTGAAAATGTCTCTTGTGTGTTTTTTGTGACATACAAAAAGTCAAGGAGAGTTGTTATTTAGGGATGCACGATATATCGGCCGATATATGTTCATTTTTAATGTTAACGTTATCGGCCCAATAAGAACATTTGGCCGATATATTAAAGCCGATAAATAATGTATTTTTCCATCAGCTGAGACACTTCAGATGCGCACTGGTTCTGAATGATGGTTTTGAATAGCTTGAAATATGATTGGAATCACTTCAAAAAAGCAAAATACAGTTAAGTGCAAAATTATGAGAACATTATAATTGTGTGCTTGGGACATGGCTTTTAATGGTGAGACTTTTGTTTTTGTAATCAGGCTCTCAAAAATTATAGAAAAATTTGGATTTAGATGTATCGGCCAATATATCGGTTATCGGCTTTCAAATATAAATAATTATTGGTATCGGCCAAAATGTTCATATCGGTGTATCCCTATTGTTATTGTTAACTAAAACTAATTTAAAATAAAATAAAATATTAGATGAAAAACTAAAAAATAAGAAATGTTGCCACAGTAAAAACTACTAGCCTAATAAAGTTCAAACATTATTTAAAAAAACAAGAACAAAATACACTAATTGCAGGCGATATAACAAAGTTACAAATAAAGTAAGGTCTAACTGGAGTGTTCAGGTACAGAAATGTAATAATTAGGCCTAAATGTAAAATAACACAATAGTGTTCACTGCATAAATTGAATATAGATTAATCTTTGTTAAAGCTGTGTTTTGTTGTTTGATTAACATGATCAAATAGACAGCAGCAGCTATTTTTTACTGAAGGCTGCAGCTGTCACTTTAAGATCCAATGCACAGATCCAATATAATGATACACATCCAATTTCTTTCTCAACAGTTTACGTTCACTTACGTTCACAGAATACTTGCCGTGACCGGTATTTTTACACAATTTTGTGTGTATGTGTCTGTTCAAGTGCAAGGAAATGCGAAGGAGGAATCAATTCGGTGTTCACGCGCCTCTCTCTCTCTGTGTGTGTGTGTGTGTGGCTGTGCGCACACTCCGCACAGATAACAGCGCTCGAGTAACAAATTTAGTTCTCTTTTGCCCCTTCTTGCGCTGGAATGGTTTAAATCGCTTGAATGTGTAAATTGGCAAGACAAAACGTGCAAATGATAAACTTTCACTCTATGATGGTTAAACTTTGCAATTAATCTGCGATTCATGTGTGCCAAACCATGGGCGGGTCAACTATGACCCATTTAACCTCTATAAATACTACTAAAATAACACTGGTCCCGTGATGTTTGGACCACAATATAATTCAGAATATTTTTTTTCCCCTCACAGAAGAAAGTTATACAGTCATAAAAATTCTCATCAACTCACCCAAAAGACATGAAATGATGATAGTGAGAATCACGCATGCACTTCTGACAGAGGAAGTGTGAGAAAAACAGATAGCAGGATAAAAGAAGAAATGTGTAATTGTAAGAGTGGAAGAGCTACTTGCTCTCTGTGTGGGCTTTCCAAGCAATGCTGTGTGAAAGTGTGTGTGTGTCGTCTCTTTACTGTATTTTTAGTGCGTTACTTTTTCATGCTGGCATTGACTCTGATGCTGAGAGAGTGAAAGAGATGGTATGCGTGTGTGTTGTCATCTCTGTCAGCACTCTGCCATCTCATGGGTGTATTTGGAATAATGTATAAGATCTTTTTCATGTTCTGAAGTGTGTTTGCTTACCACCAAGCGTGCATCAACGCACGCACACACACACACACACACACACGCACACACACGCACACACGCACACACGCACACACGCACACACACACACACACACACACACACACACACACACACACACACACACACACACACACACACACACACACACACACACACACACACACACACACACACAGGAGACCTGCAGCTTGAGACTTGGAGAATCAAATTGTGGTTTTATTACACAGTGCTTTTGGAGGGTCAAATTGGGATTATACTCTTACACTCATATGAGTGCTTTTGACCAGAGCAGAAGATCTCCTGAGGTTTTCTGTGTGGGTGTTTGGCAAGGAGATGTTTCCTTTCAGTCCTCTGAGCAGCTACTTGCAATATAGTGCCTTGATCTGAAGGTTTTTAGTTAATTTCCCTCATTATTAAAAATGTAAGAATGCGGTGGACGAAGTACATCAATCAAGAACTTAAGTAAAAGTACCTAATATAATATTACTTAAGTAAAAGTATTAAGTGTTGAGGGAAAGTACAAAAGTACCACTAGACACACAGATAGACATTTTAGGTTACAGCTCAGTCTGGCATCATTATAAATGATGTATTTTCAAGCAGTTAGCACTAGTCAATAAGGAATATTATTCAGACACTAAAAAAAAAAAAAAAAAAAAAAACAACGTTTTATTTTATTACCAAAAATTGTCATACATTGATAGCTACCCTACTGATAATTACTGACAATTCAAGTGGTCAAACAAGTGAAAATAATAAATTATACCATATAGTATATAGAAATGAGGAAAAACAAAATGTGTGTAAATGTGTGTTGACAAATATAAACACACATAAATGGAGCAATTCCAAGAGGGTCCTCGCACCTTGGTGTTCGAC